CGGGGGTGGGGGGCGCCGGCAGCCCGGCCGGCAGGGGCGTGCAGCAGGATCCCCGTGCCAAATTACGTGCTTTTAATGCTCTGTCCCTTGCGCGCAGCTATTCACCCGCGTTTTTAATAATCTAAACACAAACTGATGCTGCTCCTGATTTTCTTCCCGTGCTGTTACAGTAAGGAACTTGGTGTCATTTGAGCAGGACAGTTAAACCGCTGATGAAACATTAGTCAGGCCATAGCTATAGGATTACGTTCTGCAGAAACAAGCATCACCGTGCTACAGTGTAATGAAGCTGTTACTTGCAACCATTTTGGGATGTTGTCGCAGCAAAGTGTATTTTTGGACATGATTTTTAACCGTACAGATTAACTTCTGGAGCTTCAAAATACAATGAGATGTATTTTGAAATGCCTGATATTAATTTGTGGATTTTGAAGCATGATTAAAAATGGGAAATGTGCCTGACTGCTGCAGAGAGGCCTTGGAGATGATTCCTTGAAACCGCTAACATGCCTGGCTGTTTTAAAAAGACCTTATTTGCCTTGGCTTCTCTAGTAAGTTTTGTGTCTTTTGTCCTGATTGTTGTTGCAATGGGGACCCCAAAGTGGATGGCTGGAAGGATCCTTTGCAAAACAGGAGCTGATTTGGTCAATGCCACAGATCCAGAACTGGTCAAGTTCATTGGAGAAATTTACTACGGACTCTTCCGGGGCGGCAAAATACGCCAGTGTGGGTTGGGCGGGCGGCGTTCCAAATTCACAAGTAAGTAGAATTTTGGTTGAATCTTTAGTCTAGCGTCTAGTTCAGCTTTAAAAGCGCTCTGTTCTTTTTGTTTACAGAACGTACAGAATGCAAATAATTGTTACTAAATTTATATCTGTGGCTGGCTTGTGGTCTTTCTGGTTTGGGATCGGAGTGCGAATGTAAAATCTCTCTCATTCAGGCTAGCTTTTTTCTTCCAGTTATATTCTCTAATCCTGGAATCAAGATGAGGAAAAAAAATCCCTAGGGCTAGATTGAGGGTTTCCTTTTAGCCTTGTGAAGGCAGTAAAAGCCATTTGGAGATGACCCTGCAAATCACACTTTCCCCTTCACTGACTCTCCTAGGCCAAGCGTTGCTCTGCAACCTCTCTGTGCCTCTGTCCTTGCATTGTCTTGTTGAACTCCTCGCTTTCTTTTTTTCCTTTAAGAAGTAGAGATTTATGTAGCTGGCCACATTTCTGTATTTCTCTAGTCGTCCTAATGCAGATGTCTGCCACAGCAGACACGCCTAACTTTATTAACACATTGAACAAATTCTTCCCTTCTTTTCTGGTAACTTTGGAGAGAAAAAATGGCTGAACTCTTAAAAGATGTAGAAACTCTTATAAATGGATTCCTTTTAACTTCAAAGATTTTCTTGAGGTCTCAAAAGCACTCAGATGTTGATCCATACTTTGGATGATTTCCAGTTTTCCCACATCCCATGCTGTAGTGAAAATGATATTTTGCATTGAAGATTTTTAGTTCAGTCTGCAGATCTGCTGCAACTTAAACCAACATGAGCTGAATTTGCCGCAGTCTCCTCCTCTCCCTGGCCCACAGCAATGCTGTCCTGCCCCATCCTTTGCGATGGCTCTGGTAGTTGCTGTGGTAAGGTAGTTCAGAAAGCTAAGCTGGCCAAAAAATTGACCTAAAAAAAAAATAATTCATTTTCCATAGGATTGTGGCTGACTACACGTTGCTCAAGCACCACTATAAAAACTCAAAGCAAGGTGGGACTGTGGGACTTCAGAGGGAATGGAGAAGAGAACCAGAGCAACCTCAACTTAGATCAGCATGACCAGTTGTTAAGCTGTGATGAATTTGGACTTGTCGCTTTTACAAATAACCAAGTCAGGCTCAAGCTCTGCAGCTGCAACTTCATGATGTGGACGCAGCAGTCACACTCAAATGCTTTGCCTAGTGCGTTTGCATGGCTGGCAGACAGGCCATCAGGCCAAAGCTCTTCCAGCTCTGCTCTGCTTCTCTTCAGGGCGTCCAGAAGGACGGTCCCAGTTCTTTCACCCTATCCTATCAGAGACAATGAGGAAAAAAGTAGCCAGTCCCCTTTAAATCTTGGTAAAACTTTCTGGACTCTTTAATAAACTTTCTGATTAATTACTGTGTAACCTGAGAGGAAGGCCTAATGTTGCACCATCACTCCGGACTGCATCAATACGCGTTTGGAGGACACGATCCTACACTCTGTAGAGAAACAAAGCTCTCACTGAAGCTAGTAAGAATCCTCACTGTTAGAACTGTAAAATTGGGTCATTAAGTGCAGTGGGCACAACCATGCACATAGGCAAACGAGTGTCCCAGAGATTTTCCCTTTTCAATATTTCAATAGCTCTATCGGGTTTGATACTTTCACAATACTGGTTTCAAAATGGTACCACAATAGTATACAAAGCTGTGAAATACTTCTGCACAATGGTCAGCAGGACTTCTGGGGGTTCTGGGTCTGGCTTGACTTTTTTGCCTTGAATCCCCCTTAATCTCCAAGCATTCTGAATTTACTGGGGAGCAAGACATGGGAGACTTTTCTTGGGGATTGTGTTAGCATCAAGGGACGCACAGGCAGCACAGAGCAAGACAGAAAGCTAGCACCTCATCCACTGCAGTGCTGCAGTAGCTCTGATACTCTGGAATTCCGAATCGCAATAATACATGGTTATCAGTACATCCTTTCACTGTGTTAACACTCACTAGGGTAGGCTTACAGCTGGCACGCTCTCTTTTAACTGGGGCAGTGACGGCATGATTCAATTGCCATAACAGGTGTCCAGTGTTTTTTTCTCTTTGCTGCGTACTAAGCCAGGCTCACTGGTCATGTCTTTGGGACTTGGCTGAGAGCCTCAGAAAAGAGGCAAGAGAATCCTTACCATCACCTTAAAAACTCTTCTGGTTTGTAAGAAGGCTAAATTCCGTGTGCCTTCTTACACTGCCAGTTATTTCCCAGTAAGAAAGTAAGCTAGTTTCTGGCTTCCCATTTCTCATATATACTTCTGATTCTCATTAACTTCCCTCCCTTCTTGTTGGAGTCTCTTCTGTAGCTCCCATGTACACCAGGCCTGACTACAACCCCAGAATGAGCTACCAAAAAGGTAGAACTGTGAAATAATGAATTTTTGTACGGAATTTGTACAGTATGAAGTTTTCTACATAATCTACTAGAATCCAGTCATGTCACGATGACCAAATTGTACGCCTGATATTCACTGTGACACCCACCAATTATTGCTGCCTACTTTGGATGTGGCTTGTTTGGATTTTTTTTCCACTTATGCAGCATAGGAAGCAATCTATTTATTTGTTGATAATATAATGTACCTTCTTTTCAGTAACATTTTAGTAATTATGCGGTTAGTTCTTCAAAACGTGTATGAGTGGACAGTGCTACACTACCTGAAGGGCTCTTCTTGATCAGCTTGTATTTTAGGGCTCTTCTCCATCAGCTTCCCTCTTTCCTGTCAGTCAGCATGTCCCCTACAATTCCCTACTCACATTTCTTCTGATTCTGTTAGTGGAGAGCTGGAGGATAAACTGAATACCCAGGTGCTCCACGCTTCCCTGTTGCTGGCCAATCTGGCCCTCCGATGGAGTAACTTCATCTGTGAAGACAAAATCAAAAAAGTTACCGTTCTTTAGAGGCAGGCCAGTGACAGGCTGCTGAGGGAGAGCTCATGCCTCATGCTCACTTCACCTAAAGCCCACCCGACTGCAATACTCTACAACCTTCCTACGGATGTAACTGAAACACTGCCAGATACCCAGAAGAGTGTAAAGGGGGCATAAACACTAGGTGAGAAACCAAGGAGGGAATCTGAACATGGAAACCTGTGGGATTAGGAAGCATGAAATCAGAGTAGAACTCACTGGAGCCATTACTGAAGAGAGGAAGAAAGAGAAGGAAGAATGACATGAGAAACACAGAAAGGAGTGACACTATTCTAGGCAGCAAGGGGCTGGACAAGGAAACTGGGACTCTCAGGCATCAAAGGGATGAGATTAAAAGCATGGGACAGGAATGGGAAGCTCAAAAATAGGAGTTTGGGATGGAAAACAGAGGTGAAAAAGAGACAGAGAAGAATGCAGCAGAGATAAAGACATTAACACAACTAAATAAATAAAACAGGACTTAAGTCTGAATCCTTATTCCCAGACCCTGTGTAAAGGATTATTCCTGCAATAGAATATCTCTGGTTTGTCTGATGCAGTGATGAATAAAGCATCATGAACTAAGATGTGGGTACCTACCCGAGCTGATCGCCTCTGTAAAAAATAGTCTTGTTTAAGTATAATTTAAGTTTGTAGCACCAGCACAGTGTGATGTTTACTGTTGTCAAGAAGAAATACACACTGAGTAGATGATTTTCTTTCTTGACAGTTTTCCCACACATGGTGAAAAAGCTGAATACAGGCCTGCACGTGATGATTATAATGTTCCTCTGTGTGGCCATTTTCTTTTCTCTGGTCAGTTTTGGATTCTGCATTCTTAACGCAATAAAAGTTCCTTACCGGGCTATTAAAGGTCCAGCAGGAGTGTGCCTTTGGAACTTCCTCGCAGGTAAAAGCATTTACCGGTATTTTGCACTGGTCACATTCATACAAAATGTTAAAAGTTCCTTCTCTTGCCTTACTAAGTATTTTCTCAGCTTAAATACTTGTCAGTAAAATTAAGTCAGCAGTGAATTCTCATCTATCAAAACAAAACTGTCAGGTGGCATCTCGGCTTATTGCATCTAGTCAACTTTTTACGGGAGCTATGAATGCCAGTCTTTAGGCTCTATATCACTGATGAAAGGACTTTATTACAAACACTGCTATGATGCTTGGCTATACAATAGAGATGAAGCATTTTGAAGGTGTGTAAGCTGTGCCTAAGTCTGTCCTTGCTCTGTATAATGCTCACTGTGGTATTCAGTAAGCCTTCTGAAGCACAACCAAAATGTCTGTCTTGTTTTGACAACAACAGTGAATACCTCTTTCATTTTGTTTCAGGTGGATTTATAGTACTTGCAGTCACCAGCTTCATGGCTGCTGTCAAACTTCATCATCTCACAGAAAGAATTGCCAATTTTCGGGAAAATGTCTTTCAATTCGTTATCTTAGAAGAATGGTTTGAAGACTGTTTTTGGCTTTGTGTGGCAAGCGCCACAGCACATGCAGTAAATTTGCTGCTAATAGCCATTAGTGGGATTAATTTCCCTAAAATTAAGACTAAAACAGAAGAAGCAAATGTTACAGCAGAAGATATCATGTACTAATAAATCTACAAAATTACTTTGGTCAAGTGAACTGACATGAAATGTCAGCTTGTTGGCTCTTCAGCTTTTGATTTGGATGGACGATTTTGGTATAAACATGAATAAAGACATCAGTCTACAATACCAGCAATTAACAGGCATGGGCAAGTAGGAAAAACAAATGCTACAAATACCATTCTTCTCAAAACTGACCACTATCTGCAGTGAATATATGCTGTTCGCAGTTTTTAGGAAATTCGCATTGTGAGATATTCTAGAAAACTTAGGTGAAATAAGACTTTATTGAAACCAAGTGTCGTCTTCTTTGTTTAGAAAGAAAAGATCTTTGATACTATAAGGTTATTTCAAAACAGAAAGAATGGACGTTTGCCAGTTAGCATCACAGAATTATCTGGAAAGTGTTGAGAGGGCCATATAAGATATGTTTGATGATGTTATACTGCATTGAAAAAGAAAATTTCATCATCTGTGAGGCTAAAGTTAAGGGGAAGCACAGGCTAAGTATGTGTGAAATGTTTTTAAATCAGAAATTATCAAACCCCACAAAGTAAAGAAGTGAGAAAAGAGAAGTTTATGGCATGCTAGTAGACTATGAAAAAAAATTGTTAGCTGTGAGGTGAAGGTTTCATTGCAGCTTCTGGAAGTAAAGTAAATGGAATCTAAGTAATAGCGCTTTTAGATAACCTGGAAAATAATAACCTGACATTAATTGTCTTCAGAACCCTGTCAATTCTCATGTCTATCTGAAATCAAGTAAAAGTGATGTATGATGAAACAGTATTAAAATGAATAAAAATGGCTAAATGGATGGAAAAGTTAAGATGTTATGAAGTACCATAATTTTGACAGGTATTCAACCAGTTCTTGGGTCACGAGTAATGAATATTTCGGAGAAAAGAATATGCCATTAAGCATGTCATTTTTGGAATTTGACTACTGTGGTGAACACATACTAACCTTTTAGCAATAGAACCTACACCTAACTGAACAATGACTTGCAACGAATGAAAGAAGTTATCACCTAAAGTAAAGAAGTTATTTTGCAGTCGGTTACTCTTCATCAGACCGCTAGGTTGTGTAATTACATTCTTGTGAAAAGCTCTTTGAAAAAAAAAAAAACTTCTTTAGAAAAGGAATTAAGAATGGTTTAAGAACATGTCAGGATATAAAAAAAGAATCCTTGTTTTTTATTTGAAAAGACAGACCTCTTCACAAAAATAGCTTAAGCCTATGGGTTTAATATCTTTGGCCCAAATACTTATTTTCCATGCTCTTTTTATTTTGTTTTCATCTAAAGACCAACAAAACCACATGTTTTATGGAGTAAATTCTACTTTCATTTGGTATTCTTAAAAAATCAATTTTGCTGTTGTAAATGCTATTCAGAGTACTCTTAATTTACACAGCAGACTCAAATCGCTATGTTCACTAAATGCTTCAGCAGTGTATGTGCAAGCTCTGCGTGAGGTAAGAAATGAAAATTATTTATGTCCTTTTTTTATTGTCCATACACAGCAAGAGCAGCAGACATTTGGCAGTCAGTGGCCTAGTTTCAGAGGAAATGTTATTAGCCAAACTCAACCTACAGATGTAATGAGCAGTGTTTGTTAACTGTAGCTCGTACCATCTCTGGTTTTGGCCCTATAACTTTAGCAGGATTATGAGTGAAGCAGAAGTCTGTGGGGGTGCTTCTGCAATAAGCCCTAATAATCTGCCTCCCTCAAGTCAGGTGTTAGCCACTTTTTTCCTAGAAGCACTAATTTATTTATTTTTTAAGTCCCATAAAAATTTAAGAGACAGCTGGAAAGTTTCATTGAGTCTAGAGCACTGTTACAATTTTAGCATACAAGAGACTGAGTAAGGCAGAAAATTTGATTCCTGATTTATACCACCCACCTACTTCACTGTTCTTCTAATGTTACTGGTGCTTTCACTCCCATCTCTACCCTGGGCCACCACTCCCAGAAGATGGTGTGATGCCCGGCACATGGATAGGCAGCAAACCAGCCCAGCCCATGAAGGCGCCTTGGATGGTAACAGCACAGCACTGCCCAAAAACCTGTCCACAGAGGCCTATGTGGTACCACCACCTTTGCCTCCCAGGAAACTCTGAGTGCCTCTGAAACAGAACACCTTAAACTGCAGTGTAATTACACAAGTAGAAAATGAAATATTTGCCATTTGCAATTGTTCTATGAACTTATAATTTAGAAGTAGTTGTGGTACAAAACCAATTATGTTTTAACACGTAACTGAGCCTTTATAAGTATAATTCTCTTTGGGAAGTGAAAAGGAAGCAGATTTTTAAATCCTCTACATAGAGCCATTGCTTCGGAAGTGCTTTTCAGTAGTACTAAGATGCATGTATTACAACATATTTTTCATCCTGCTAATGAACTGCTTAATGCCCCCCAAACTTCCCCCCAAAACAGTTATTGAGTAAGAGCCATGGGACTACTTTGGTAAGGACAAGATTAAAGATGTGTTGCACTGATTTGTTGAACTGTTCCCAGGTAAGTCACAGTAGCTCTGAAAGAACCATTAGAGCACACTGTATAAATAAAGTTAAAGGGGAATAGCTGGGCTGATCAGCTTTTTGATTTCTTGTTTTGAATCTGTTCAACAATGAAGCATGCTCTGCAGTAACAGTCCAAAAGATTTCTCACAGCAGATGTATGAAGTATTATTATGGGATATTGTAGCTGCATGAGTTGAATGACCGAATAACATTATGTTATGCAATGACTGTTGTGTGGCTTGTGAGAAAATACTCTTTTCAGTTCACTTTAGAGTGAACAGAAGTATTACCATGCATGAATTAAACTGAACGAAACAGATGCAAGGCTAAACTCACCTTTCAGCTGCACAGGTTGCCTCAGTTTAAGCACTGTGAAGACACACCAATGGGGTAATGCATAGAATATTTGCCCTGGGAAATTTTGTTGGGGGAAAAAAAGGCTGAATGCGATCACACATAGTTAAGATGTACAATTACAAAGCAGACCTTAAGGTTAACAATAGGTAAGTCTGTCACTCAGGCCTTCTCAGCTTTCCCGTGTACATCATAAAATGCTTTCAAAGAATGTGGAACTTGATAAGAGTGATCTACTTTATTGACACATTTTAATTTTAGTTATACTTCACATAGTGTATCTGACCATATGCATGCTCAACATCTGGAAATGAAGGCTTCTGTGGGGGTACTTTTTACTTTGGAAGACTTGAAATCCCAAATGAGAACATTTATCTGCCCAGAAATTTGAAGATATTATGGGTCAAATCCTATCTTTCCATAAAATTAAAGACAACTTCATGTACCCTGAAAATACCCATTTAACTTGTACATGCGGAATATATAGAAGCTCCATGCAGGACGTAAAGAGCTGTTCTTCAAAGATCTAAGAAACAATTCATTTTATCTAAGAGCCTTTCCAAAATAAATGAAGCTAAAAGCTAATTACCACTTTAATTCTTTAAAAAATGTTATGATTTAGTGTTAGAAAAATGTAGTTTTACAAGATAAATCAAAATGGATGCAATTTCCCTCAGTCATTGTCTCCGAGTGCCGCTGTCCTTAATAAGTCATGTTATTTTCCCCTGTACCACTTCATGGAAAAAGCGGTTAGGCGGGAACTGCAATATGCTGCTAGAGAAGAACAGGCCCAGCCACCCTTCTTCACCATGTTCTGCTGATGTAAGTCTAAGTCCAGTTACAGATGTATGGAAAAGCCAGCTAATTATAGTAGTGTTGTGTCAGATTCTGACATATAAAAGTGAATTACTTATAATCTATGCTTCACGTTTCTAGGGGGGAAAAAACCAAAACAAAACCGAATTTGGATCACTTGACATTAGAATTGGGTGCATGTTCTGTGCCCCTGAAACTCTGGCTCCTCACACTGACGATACAGTAGGTGTCAGCAAACTCCAAACAGCTCTTTTCCATCCAGTGCTTTTGCTAGAGAAGCATAAATCTACTTCTGACATTACACTGATGACCCAGTATTCTGGTGTGAATTTTATTGTTTATTTATATACCGATAAAAGTGTAACGGTAGTCATTTGCATTGGTCCTTTATTTTCATTTACCACGGGATATTATACAAGTAAACCACCATCCTACATAGGAAATAATGTAAATTTTCTGCCTTGCATTTGCGATAAAGCAATCTGAATACATTTTAATCTTCAATATGCGAATTAAACATACTGTATGCATACCATGACTGTTTTTTTAAAGCCCGTGATAAGGCTGCCAGAGAAGTTGTCTCATCCTCAGCAGCACGTGCGAATGCTGACCTAGAGCAATGCCGCCAGAGGGCAAACACCCACCGTGGCACCCAGTCGCCCCCCGTTCCTTGCCAGTCTCATGCGCAAGCAAAGGAGGACACCGCACCTCGCGGTCCCCCGGGCACTGCCCTCGGAACCCTGCCCGCCCCCTC